ACCAGAAGGGTTTATAACTGATAGGTTAGAAATGTTTTCTGTAAGAGAATGTGTGACATGAATATTGTATTTACTGATCTAATTATTTGTTGCATTTTGATTCTCACATTGTTGGTCTTGTTACAGATAGATGAAGCAGCTGACATTATACAAAAGTTACATTTGATTGCTCAAGAATTGCCTTCAGGAAAGTATGTGTTCATAGAAATTAGTTCATGATCATGTTGTGGATATAGTAATATGGTATATAACAGTAATTTTTCGTTATGCAGATTTGAAAAGGCCAAAAAGAAAATAGCTGCAAAGTATGATGAAATTGAGAGATCACTAATTGAGGAGTTTGTGAAAGCTCATCGCTCAGATGATAAAGGAAGGATGAAAGAAATTGCAACTATTCTTTCTCATTTCAAGGGCTATCCGCAGTGTATAGATGCATTCATTGAGCAAAGCCAAATGGTAAGAAGGTTTTCAGATCTAATTTTTTTATTATGCATCTTGTTTCACTCATGCATGCCACATATTCCACCTGTCTCATCCTCCTTGGTTCTATCATCCTAAAAATTGTTAAAATTGCCAAATTATAAAGTTCCTCATTCTATAGTTTTGTCCAGCTTTCAATTTAGATCAAATATTCTTCTCAGTGCTCTTTTCTCAAACACCCTCAATCTTTGTTCTTCCCTTAGGGTGAAAGTCCAAATTTTATACCTGTATAGAACAACAGAAGAAAATTGTAAGCATGCAATTAAAGTAAAAAAATTCCCATTCTCCTTGATTACTTACTCTAACAGTAGTATTTGGTGAAGAGTACAAACTGAAGCTCCTTATTGTGTAATTTTCTCCATCTCCCTGATAAATTGCAGGGGCTTGCAAATGGCCCTATTGTGAAGAGTATTAGATAAAACATGATATTGTTCTTGTATGTTGTCATCTCTATGAGGACCATGTGAACTGTTATACAGTAGTGCAGTAGGACTTTAGTGATATAGGACAAACTTACGTCCTGTCTCTCAGATATAAGCTTCACAAAATACTGCTGACCTTTTTAGCATTTTTTTACAGGTTTTAGTAGTCACTAATATGTCAGTAAAATATACAAGTTTTTAAGATTTAGATTATGTCCACAAACTTTATAACATACAACACTTTTGTAATTTTTAAGGAATACCATGCAGTAACATATTCATTTAGTTAACTTCTGGAATAATATGGTAGTTTTTTCTCTTGCAGGGTGCATTTACAGGAAAAGATGTCTTCCATGATGTAATTCCTTTGTGTGAAAAAAATTTTTCTGTGATGACTGAGGTGTTTAGTAATCCAGACCAAGTAATGGCAAAGTTTGTGCTTAATATTTATCACTTGAAACTGCAGGTTTGTATTTTATCCATTCTGTAAATTTGTTTATTACTATTTTGACTGGACATTCAGCATTAATCAGTTTATCTCTTTCTTTTGTTCATTGATGCTTTCTTAGCTACATTATGACTCTTAAAATTATTGCTAAATTAGAATTGTTGCAGCAGTAAATTCAGACATGACTTTTCTAGGAATATCAGTAGTTTTATTTGTTTTATTAATGATTGACCTTTACTTTCCAGAAATACATTGTGACTAGTTTGTCAGATAGAAGTGACACAGACAGATATCTCAAGAACTTATATGATTTATATTCAAGGTTAGTACCCACATTGGCTTAACTGTAAATGTAGAAGTGAGTGTGTCGTGTATGCTTTTGCCTGTGTTCCTGATTTGTTCTGTCCATCTTCTTAGTTTTGGTTTTGTATTGTCAAAATAAAATGCTGGAATAGTAAACTACTGTCTGTAGAATTCAAATTAATTTCAGTTAAACAAACTGGAAGTAGATGTTAATATGTTAAACATGGCTGACAGTATCCTCTGAGGATGTGAAAAATAAATATGTGCAATGATGGTGTGCAAAAAAGGGTGAGGAAATGATATAGCTACAAGAAGGGTACTTATAAGAGGACAGAGAAGAGTAGAAATGGTTTTTTCATATAGTGGTCCACCCTCTTGGAAACATCTATAGATGGTGATGGTGGTGAACACTTACGGGGGCAGTTCAGATTTGTTGTGGAATTTTCATTGTTTCTCTGTTGTTTCTATTGGCTGTGAACCTAACATAAATTCTGTCCTGGTGGGGATGGGACAAGTAGGCAGTGCCTCACTGCTGTGAGAACTTCAAATCTCACACACATGTACATGTACAAGAATACCTTGACAATAATGTCTGATATGAAACAAGTAAGATGAAGTATCAACACACTGTAATCAAAATTTCAGATTAAATTTGATTTTTTATATTAATTTTTAGTGAAATGTATTAGAATTAATTTCTTGTTTTATTTTACTTTTTCATTACAGACATTTATTATTTGTCCTTACAGAACAGTTAAACTCTCAAATGATCTGTCTCACTTTCAAATGGGGAATGACAATATGTACCTAAGTAAGCTGACCATGAACATCTTTCAGAAGTATCTGGACTCTTATATCAGGTAACATAGTTATAGTTCACTGTGGAGAGGTGTAGCTTTAGCTGCAGTTGTTTTGTAGGAGTAAAGAACTGCCAGAGTGGGGTGTAGATTAATTATTTTAAACTTGTGAGTTGTGAGGATGCCTTGTGTGATCACAAAGATAAAGTAAATGATTACAGTGGTACATTTTGTTTTTCAAAGTTACAAGTAAAGCCTTCCTTGCATCCAGACTGTCTGATGTTAGAAGAGACTGTTTTTAGGTTATTCTTTCTTGTGTATGAAGCCGGTTTTTATGTATATTTTTCCTCACATTGGGCTGTAATGTAGTTTCTCCAACAAATTAAATACATAATTTACTTATTTGGACAAAAGTTTTAAATTTTGCTTTATTAATATTTTGAGGGGGAGGGGGGGGGGCTTATCATTACCCTGCTCACTAAATGTAACAGCACCCCTTTGTTGTAGTAGTTCCTTATGCAGTCTGTGATTCTCTTCTTCTGACATTCAATCTTAGCGTACAAGCCTGTTCTGGCTTCAGTTGACTCTTTTTCAGAACTACCATTATCTATCTAAGTAACAGTTTAATGTTTTTGTGTGTTATGGTGATACTCAGCATGTTGCTGGAGAATAGCTAATGTTGGTTTTATATAGAGTACAAATGGAAAAGTGCTTAAAAGCAAATAACAGTAAACCATTTTGAATGTGTTTAATTGTATGAAGGTAAAAATTGTGAGAAAAATATGAGTTGGATGCAAAGTGTAACTGCTGAAGCATTTTGGAACTTCATTTTTTGTAGAGGTGACAAACCATCACTCGTCCTCCACCAAGTTTTTGTTCTAAAATTGTCTTAAAAATCAAGAAACAGACCAACAAAGATCCAGTTCTTATCAGATTTACAGTTATGGATATGATGAATATCATTGTTAATTTCATCATGGACTTGTTAGTATGGTTTTATCATTGATCGCATTGAAAGTATTTATTTTATTAGAATGGTACAGGAAATGTGTGATGCCAGATTGCAGAATTTTGACTGCTTGTTTCAGTGTGGAAACTAAATGTCTAAAAGAAAAGAGTGCTGCAGTATTACACAGATATTATGAATGCAAGAATCATCAGAAAAAACAAATTCAGACTGGAGGGTAAGTGTATTATTCTGCTTTAGTGCCCCTAATGTGCTGTGTCCTTAAATGTTTATGCAGTTTTCACAGAATTTTTCTGTTGTAGAAAAATCAACATAAGTTTATTCAGGTATCTCAGACTATGTATAAAATATAATTAATGATGTACAGAATCTTCCTTAAGCAGTTGACTGAAAAAAATTCCTAGTTCTTAACCTGCTTGAAGATTCATGTTTATGAAGGTCCACTGCTGGAACCCTGCCTTGAGCCAGTTGTGTCCAGTACACCTTAATACCCTATTTCTCCAAACCCCATTTTAATATTTTTCTCCCATCTGTGCATAGACTTCCCATAAAACCCCTATTTTGTGGGAAGCTCAAATCAAACTTTGTCACTTCTCATACAAACGGATTTCATAACATGAAATACAGATCTTATTTAAGGTCTACAACTTTTAGTTGAAACATTTTTCAGTATGTAAAATAAAATTAAAAATAATTTATGGCCCTATATATGATTTGTGATATTTATGATGTGAACCAACATTGCTACAATGGGTTTTTAAGTGCAATAAGTAAATACCAAGGTGAATAAGGTATACAGAATCACAAATAAAACTTCTTTCTTTGTGTCTGCTGTACATTTCAAGAGTCTCATCTAATCATAATGAATTCTACTTTTATTTTTCATATGCATTGAATATTTCCTTTCAGTTTCCAGGATTTGAGAAGAGACCTGCAGGCAGTGATTGGAACACGTGCAAATTTTAACATTGCTCAGATCGAAAACTATGGAGGAGAAACATTTTTATCAGAAGAAGTTGCTATTGCACTGCTTCAGGAAAGCAAACTGGCTTTTAGAAGATGTGAGCTGGTATGTACAAGATTTTACTCCATGAAAAGTAATATTTACATATTTTTGCAATTTGTTTTGTTAAGCAAGTGCATAAATTACTTTATAACAAATCTTGCAAAATTTTCCAACTCCCTGATTATTGTCAGCTACCATATCATCATTCTTGTTTAATGTTACTTAGTTTATCTAAGGTTTGAATTGATCATATCAGTTAAGCCAGAATTCTTTTTTTATTCTGAATAAGCCATAGTAAATTATATTTAATCTTATCAAATGCCATTTTGCAGCCTATAAAAGTGAAGAAAACTGGTAAATTAAATTTTCTCAGGTGGGCAAACCACTGCATGGGCTGATGTAGACATGCGAAATGAAAGTGATTTGCCTAAGAAAGAATTTTATTTATGCAGAACCAGACAAGAAAGATGGATATTGTGCTGTGTAGTCTTGTTCAAGTTGACTAACATTCCAGAGGTGCTTATTGCCTCCATCATCAAGGCAGTATGTTCTCAGATGGTGAAGGTAATAAGAACCTCTGAAATGTTGGCCAGTGTCTATGAGACTATGTGACGCATTATCCAAGATGGCTGTGACCTTCATACTCACTGCCATGAGAACCTAAACTCCCATTTAGACAAGAAATTTTGCAGATCTGTTAAGCCATTTTATTGAAAGAGTTAGATATGTAATTATTCTTTTTTGACTTTGGAGAGTTGTTTGCTGATCCAGAGTATGTCAAAAGAATGAATTAAGATATTAACAGCAGACAGAGAGGAAGGGGTGACAGGAAGAAAACTGTCTTTCTGTTTATTTTTTCATACCTTTTTATATGCTTGTGACATACATATTCCATGCTGCTGTCTTCCACTTCAGTTTTCAGCCCCTTCTTGTATACAGATCACACTTCTGGTTTGCTTCAGTGTCTGTTTTTAAGAAATAACTTTTACATTACAGGCTACATGAAGTAAGTACCCACTTCTTCTACCAGAAGACAGAGACTAATTCAGTCTGCAGAATGTTGTATATGTTCATTCAGCTTGTGGATATGTCCATAGAGAGTGATAGACATTTGTTACAAACATAACACAATTACTGATATGGTATTTTGATTTAATTTGTTAGCTCTCTCGTCAGTCTGACATGCCAGGTAATGCACTTCAGATATTTGAAATTTTACTGCACTATCTTATGGCTGAGCACCTGGATTATGCCCTTGAACTGGGATTGCAAAGTGTACCTATACCAGAGAACAAAACGCAACCTCAAATCTCCTTCTTTGATGTTCTACGACAATGTAATGCCATCATTCACTTATTGGAGAAGCAGTTCATCGATAGTCTTGTTCCATTGGTTATGTAAGTATATTCCAACTGTTTATACATAAATATAGAAAATGTTCAGTATGGTACTTCAGAAAATACCATGTGCCACAGTGACCTGCCACATAGGGTTTGTTGAGCCCTTCTGAAACAACGAATAGGCAATATATAGAGAATTATTAATCAATACATGCTAACTCTTCAACATGCTGTTATATTTGGGTTGACCACCAATTAATTTACAGTTACTTACGTCATTCCTAGTTATTGACATGAAATTAACATATGGATACCCCAATGATTCAGCAAATTGTATCATTACTTCAGAAATGGTATGTTACTTTTGCCATCAGCTTGTGCGTGTGAAACGTCAGCATTATCTGCCAATGAAAATTTGTATTGAATCTCTGTATATTTCAGTATTTATAACAATGATTTACATGTTTTTGTTTCAACTTTGCTAATTACATCTTTGTCTTCTACTTATTTTTTTATGTCCATGACCATGTCCCCCTTCCCCTTGCTCATCCGACTTACGGCTTATCCGACCTATAGTTTCCCCTATATAGGTCGACTAAACAAGGTTTCACTGTACTGTGAATAAAGCTAGATCATTAAGTTATATAAATATCACTTTATAATGTTTTGCTTAGTGTTTTAATGTTTAAAGGAAGTCAGTATGTTCATCCCAGAACTTTTTCTTTCATTAGTTAAGAAGCTGATACTGTAACAAAACCTATTTTATACAATGTTTCAGATCTACTCCAAAACATGGTGATTGTCTTCAAAAGAAAAAGTACCTTTTAGAACAGATTGAATTTAAATTAGATACTGGACTTGACAGGTAAGATTGAAGTGATTTCTTGTGAGCTTCTGTATTCAGATTATTCAACTTGAGTAATTTATTACCACTTAAAGGGATTGTAGAAACAATGACAGAAAATAACAGCAAATATTTATGTCATCTGTGAATGTTGTTAATAGCAAGTTGATGTTGACTAAGGGAAGAACGAAAAGGACACATTAGAGGGAGGGGCAGAAGAAACTGTTGGTAGAAGACACCAGATGTTTCATCCTACCAGGAAAGGGTGAAGGAATCTACTTCTCATATTGGAATGTCAAACAGAATTCTGTTTGCTACCATTAATTTGTTGGCCTTCTGCAATTTAATATTCTTGTAAAATACAGATTTGTTATTTTTACATTCACAAAGAGACAAGAAATGGGAAATGCAAAAATTATACAGTGTATCAAATCTGGTACCTGATATTTTTATCACACCTTACTTTATGGCATCAGGTGAATTATTTTCAAGAACTAAGTATAACAAATTTTCTTTTAGGTCAATTAATGCAATTGTTGGTTGGGTGAAAATATATCTTCAAACAGAACAGAAGAAAACTGATTTCAAACCGGAAACAGATGTAGATACTCTGGCATCTCCTGTAAGTGGAAGACTTCTGTAATGGAGAATGTTTATTATCTCTTTTTTTTCTTTGTCTTGTCTTATTGGGTACTGAGTACATTTCTCTGCAGGCATGTTTGGCTGTAGTGCAGTATGTTCGAAGCATGGTGGAAAGAATCAGAGACAGCTTAGATGGTAAAAATGTTGAAGCTCTTATGATGGAGTTTGGTGCACGTTTCCATCGTGTTATTTATGAACATCTCCAGCAGTTCCAGTATAACTCAGCAGGTAAGAATAACTTTGGACACTTTAAATGGAAGTAAGGATCATTAAAAGAATAGATTGTGGAACTACTACTTTATTTTTAACAAGTTGATAAATATATGTATAGCCAAAACTTGACATTTTTTAATTATTGAAGCATGTTTGGTTTGTTTACTGTGAGTGTTTCTTTTAACAGCACTAAAATTCATGTATGAGTAAATTTGATAAACATTGTGTAATTTGTTAACTTTAAATGTCTTAGAGTAACAGTAACATATTGTTTTAACCTGCAAGATGTCTCATTTTTTTTTCTATTTTTCAGGAGCAATGTGTGTAATTTGTGATGTTAATGAATACAGAAAATGTGTGAAAGAATTCAAGGTTCCATTGGTGAACACATTATTTGATACACTTCATGCATTGTGCAATCTACTTTTAGTAAAACCTGAAAATTTGAAGCAAGTGTGTACAGGAGACCAATTGGTAAGAAAACAATGTACATTCTTTCTGATTGAAGATGTGTATACATTTGCTTTGGTATTAAGTTAACCTGTCAAGTTTTGTGAGTAGTCCATGTAATTAAATTATCTTAAATGAATTTTAGAGTCTAGTGGCGTTTTTTATTATTATTATTATTCCTCCATTCATAATCTTGTGGCCTTCTGGTCTCTGGCTGCCTAGCAACAGTGAAAATTGGACGTGTCTGTGGCATGCCATTTATTCTGATCGATAGCATGGTAATGATGACTGTTTTACATCAGCTTTCCTTATATAGGCATATAATTTCATGTTCATGTCTGTTTGTGCAATCTGCCCTCTCTCTCTCCTACCTTTCCAATTCTCCATATATTGCTTCATCTGTCTGCCTACTTACAGTATCATCATGCCTGTACTTATGTGTCTGCCTCTCCTTGTGCTGCTCTTTCATGAATCTTCATTCCTTCCTTTCTTGATTAATTTTCATCACCATAAATAGATTATGCTTCATAATTTGTACTTTTTACCAAACATTATTTGGGTGATCAAATCAAGGGTGATGTTTCGGTTAGGGAAGGGACTACTTAGGAGAGCTAGGTACAGACGGAATTATATTAAAATGGATCTTAAATGGACTGGATTCATCTACCTCAGGAGAGTCCATTGGCAGGCTCTTGCAAACATAGTAGTGAGCATTCAAGTTCCATAAAATGTAAGTCATTTCTTAACTAGCTGAGTGACTACTAGCCTGTCAAGAAAGAAAAGGAATCTGCTGTGCAGAGTTAGATAAGATGTGTGAAACATTGAACACTGCATGAAGTTTATTGTCACTCCTTTTTCAGGCTGGCTTGGACCGTTCAATCCTCTTGAATTTCATTCAGCTTAGAAGTGATTACAAAACACAGAAATTATCTGTCTCACTTAAGGGCTTAGCTACATGAAAGTGGTGACAGAACAGTACCTCAGGCCTCTTTATCTTTCATTGTGTACAAGATGGATGGAAGTTCACAAATCAGTACTTGAAGCTGTAACTATGCAACAATGGAGCAGATCTACAGATGATGTTCCTAATATCAAAGCTTTATAATTGTAAATCATAAGTTAAATGACAAGCTTAAAATGATTAATGTATTGTATAGTGTTAAGAACATATCACAAAATATTTCTTTTCATAGAAATGCCCAATGAGTATAATATTTCTGTATAAAACATTAAATAGATTACTTATATTTATGATATTTAATAATTCACTTATTTTAAAACTTATTAACATTGTTCAAAAATGTAAAATGCAAGCAGGATTGTTTTCTGTCTTTATTGATAAGATGTATATTTCTTATATTTGATCTGTTAAAAATTATACTGAAAGAAACCACAAATTTATTTTTAATTTTGAAAGATGGCATGAAATTTTTGATTTATTAAGTGGCATTTGTTATGCAGTCTTTCATGTCCAAATGTAATTTTCCATTCATAATGTTCATCAGGAAAGCCGTGAAATTATTTTCAACTGAAACTGGAATTGTTAGTTTTATCTTCTAATTCTATACAGATTAAAAGTTGTAAATATAATATTGATGAAACATGTATCTAAATGGGCATTATTCGCACAATGTGCACTTGAGCTTTATATCTGGGGGTTACAGTGCTTTAATCACACCCTTTCGACCACATCCTGAGGATTTTTGTGCCCTTTGCTTTCCATATGAATTCCAGTTTGTACATTAATAATAGCTAGAGCAAATAAATTCTCATGTATGGAGGTACAGTAAGTTATGGCAGCACCAAGAAATTAACCATAAAACCTGCCACCAAGCAAAAAATAGTATATTACCTATAGGTTATGCTAGTTTAAGGTTATGTACTGTAGTTTGGTTGGTAGCTTCTGGCAAGTTTTCAGTACTACCAGCCTCAACTCACTGTATAGGCATATTAGAATTTTACTGCTGTAACTACTATTTTGCATCCTTTGAAACTTAACATTCAAACTCCTGAAATCTGTTTGACAGTGTAACCAGACTTGCTCTGTATCCAAATTTGGATTATTATTTTCTGATTGGGTTAGAAGAATAAGCCATTTGGTGAATATACTGGGATTAACCAGTAGTATTTTCGCATGGAGGTTAAGTTGAAGGACCAAAGAGCTAGTAATCATGATAGCTGGCTAGTTTATATGATTTCTTCAGTTATTATATGATTGTGACTGACTTTGAGAAGTTAATGGCAGTCATGATTC